GATCCCAGGACCCTGGGATCAGACGCTTAACCCACTGAGCCACTCAGGCGCCCCATGCTCTGGCTTTTAAAGAGCAATTTTGTCATCCCAGCCATAGAATTGGTCAAGGTGATAGCTGAGTTATACAATTGTTGGGGAATCTATCCCATTTCCCAGTTGTTCAAGTAATCATATGCCCATGGGGTCCTGTTATCCCCACAGAATAACAAGCAAGATTGCCTATACATGAGCTATTGTGGCAATTTCTCTGAAGTTTACCTCAAGTGGTCTAGCTTAGGCAAACAACATTCAAAGACAATCAGAACTAAAGTTTAGCATCCACAAAGGTGTGTAATTGAAACATAATTTCTCTCTGTAATAACCCTCATTTCCAAAGACAGCCAAATAAGACTAATTTGTTTGAAAAACAAGTCCAGTTTTAACAAACGGTGTAATTATTTACATAAGTTCAGCAAGAATGATTGATCATATAGATCTTTTAGAATCTGCTTTGCTGGAACTTTTATAAGGAATCTCTAGATTGAACTTTTAGTTGCCTCTCCAGGCCAGAAGCCAAGCAAAGTACTTGCCATCAGACATGCCTGCAATACCTGTAAATGGGGGCAGATTCCTCTTCACGAGGTCCCCAATATATCCTGAGGTCCTTGCACCTGCCAGGAAGTGACATTCTTTACTCACCTGGTAAGGCTGCTGGGAACTCTGTAAGCAAGGTATCAGGCCAACATTTCCAAGGAGCTTTATGGCTTTAGGTTTCATAAAGTCAACCTTAGTTTCTTAAAGCTGTCTGGTCATTTCTGAGTCTATGAATGTCTCTCAAATATGACATTCCAGTCAAAGCCTTAGTAAAATAACCAATATTTCCAATGGTGTCCTGTTACAAGGAGAACAGATTCTTGTTGAACTTATGCAAATGATTGATTGCCATGGAAGAAAGCTTATTGAGACCTTTTGAATTTCAGAGGGTTTAGGTAGAGATAAATGTTAAATGTTTTAATGCTTTTGTTTACAAATGAATATTTTATCACATTTCTGTAAATCATATCTTAAGAGAAAGTTTCCTTAATCTGGGAGAGCAGACATTAGAGAAACAGCAATGTTTTGAACAAAAGTCACAAAAGAAACTATAATCATTTTTTTCCCAATTTACTTAGTCCCGTTTTACTATTCTTGTTTAAAATGCAACTTCAGTGAGTTTTGGAAGTTTTTACCCCATTTTAGTTTTGATCTTAAAAATACTGAATACCTGTATTTGTCCCAAAAGTCCTTTTTATGAACCTCCTTGAAGATGAAACTCATTTTGCAGGAGAATAAGGACAATTATAAATGACAAAAACTCAGAAATGGACATTGGTAATGATCTGATAGGAGAGTTCATTAGGATGCAATTGACAAGGAAACTCAGTTATTCTGTGTCACATAACAACTCAATAGCCAGAATATCGAGTGATGATGACTTTATACCAGAATGTAACATACCAAACAAGCCTAATTAGTCAAGGAGACTATGTTCACGATTTAAATCTTGGGGAAGTTTGTTAAAACCTAGCACATGCCTAAATAGGATTAGGGATCGTCAAAGACCGGATAGAGGCAAAACATGGAAACTGGCTTTTCTGGGCAGGCAAAGAGAAAACAGCTGTTTACATTTTCTTATCAAGAGCAGACTAACAATTCAAGAAAATTTTGTCTTCTGAATATAGAGAGAATTCCAATCTTATATACCACTGTACTTTTAAAATCCCTTTATTTTAGGACTAGGAAAGATGGCGGAGGAGTAGGGGACCCTATTTCAGCTGGTCCCCAGAATTAAGCTGGATATCTACCAGACCACTCTGAGCACCCACGAAACCAGCCTGAGATGTAAGAAGATCTGGATCTCTACAAACAGAATATCGCAGGCGGTTGGTTTTGAGGTACGAAGCGGGGAGCCGTGATTCTGTGGGCAGATATTGGAGGATAAACGGCAGCGGGAGGGTGCCTGGACGTGGGGATCCTACACCGCTGGTGAGTGACAGCCTCGCGCGCTGCAGACGGGGCACAGACTCGCAGAGCGGTAGCAGTGGGGAAAGGACTTTAGGGCAGCCCGTGGGATGGAAACCCGGAGCAGCGGGGTCACGTGTGCGATCTGGGGGCGGCTGGCGGTTTTAGAAGCACAAAGGGCAGACACGTGCCCCGACCTGGAGGCAGGACTGGGAGCGCTGTGGAGGGGC